AGCCCAGCGAGAAAGGCCCCCGTGGCTGGCAGAGGCTGGCCTGACCCCACAGCTGCTCGCAGTAGAGCCTTCCAGCAAAGACCGGCTGCACCTGGCCCTCCAGGACAGGGCTGCTCCTCTCCCGGACCCTCCCTTGCTTCCCCTGCAGGAGCATCTCATCTTCCTTGCTGCAAACCGCACGCCCCACGGCGGGACGCACAGGTGCACACGAACTCAGCGGTCCAGAAACCTGGTAGACAACGCCAAGTTCCGTCCCTCCCTGGGAGCACCAAGTGACCTTTAGGCCACAGCACCTGCCACATGAGCAGCAAGACGATGAGACATACCAGAAACGGGGTCGACAAGGTTATTACCGCAGAGCCTGACTCCGGAGTTCTCGGGGAACATCCATTCTAATGCTCAAGTAACACAAGGACCCCATTTCCCTGATCTGTGTTAAATGCCTTCAGAAGCATGCTGAGAAAGTTTTGTATTAAGGTGTTCATAATCATCTTCTTAAGCTTGACTGTGACATTTTCTAAAAGAAGCATTCTATGCTACTGATTTATCTGATCTTTTGATTTACCAAAATATGAAAGGAAAAATGTATTAATGTTCACAGTGTAAACTCCACGTAGTTGTAAATGCTCTGAAACTACCTAATACAACATCTTAGAGCTACAGGCTCCTAAGAAAAGAAAGAGACACCACTGGTCACCTATTCTAGTACTTTTCAAACTGTGGGCCATGAAATCGATTTAATGTGTCACAACTAGTACCCAAAAGAGATTAAAAAAGAAGAAAAACAGAACAGAGTAAAAAGTATTAGAGAACTAGCCAGCAGTGAGGTTAACTATCCTTTTGTGAACCTGCTCCGACCATGTGTGTGTGCATGCACCTGAGCGAGAGAGGGTGCGAGAGTCCTAACGCACACCTATTTTCACACACTGGACCCTGATGCAGTCCAGCCACACAGCACAAACCCATCATCTGAAGGGCAGCCGGGCATCTGCTAGGCAGCGTAACCAGACCTTTAGTGGGGGCCTGTCCAGGGGCCAGGGTGGCCCACCGTCCACCGGCCACAGTGAGCGAGGACAACCAGAGAAGCAAGCATGACTTGGAGCTGAAGCCCAGTTGGTAAGCAGAGCAACTGCAGCTAGGGGGCTCCCCGCGGTGGCTCCCCAGTTTGCCCACCCTCCCCAAGGTAGCCCCCTGGCCTGCGTAAGTGCCATATTACTGCATGTAAAAGTTCCCATGACCTCATCATTTCTTTTAAAATCCATCTCAAAATCATTTAACCCACCTCACTGCAATTTGCAATCCCTATGGCTCTTAACATTTGAGAACTTTTTGTTTTCATTTTTCAGAATCTTCTGAAATCCATACTGAATTAAAAATTCTATTATACTGGGGCACATGGCGGCTCCGTCAGTGAAGCATCTGACTCTTGATTTCGGCTTAGGTCATGATCTCAGGGTCCTGAGATCGAGCCCCGTATCAGGCTCTGTACTGGCTGTGGAGCCTGCTGGAGATTCTCTCTCTCCTCTCACCCCTGCCCCCTGCGCTCTCGCTCTAAGAAAAAAAAAGAAAAAAAATTCTATTATACCAACCACTAACTCAGAAAGCTGAACTCCCTTAAACAAATAATCCCTTCACAGGCCTCGCACCTGTAATACACAATGTGTCTACGCATCCAACTTGTGTTCTGTGCATCACTACCACGCAGGATTAGCTTCAGTCTTCTCCTGAGAACTCCAGATTTCTCTGTTCCTAATCTCATTTACTATACAAAGCCCAGCTGCCCAAACAGATTCCTTAAGTCACCATGTAGGCAATAACACCACTACGCATTCCAAGTTCCCATGTTCTTTATGTGCTTGTTAGCTCTGCGTTCACACGACAGTAAACGATCAACCCTGGAATACTCACTGGGTAAGAAAGAGGACGCAGCACGAGGCAGTAGAAGAAATCACCTGTGTCCCTAGGACCTGCGCTCAGACTGCGGACAAGGAAATCAGCACGGCATGACCGGGCCTAGTAAAGTGACTCTGAACAAGAACCATCGGGAACAGGGCCACAGACACGCAGGCCCCTGCATCTCACTCCCAGGAGGTGCCCTCGCCCGGAGCCCAGGACCACAATTAATGACTGCATTTGAACTTCAACCCTAACAAATCTGACCATCTAGCTTCCCCCCAAAACAGATCAGGAAGGACGAGGAAGGGGGTCACTGCAAGAAGATGCGTGTGGCCAGAAACAGAAGGAAGAGAACAGGAAATGTGTGCATGTGCCACCAGGACCACCCCTTGAAAGGAGGCTTCCAACCAAACCCCAGGCTCTCTGCCGGGCTGTCCGTTGGCCCCCACTCCTGATCCCTCCTCCCCACACCGGGGGAGCAATGGACACCGCTGCGTGTCTTCCGCACCAGGCCCATGCTCACGTGCCCCCACAACAGACCGGCCACCGGCAGGGGCCACGGCCCAGGGAGGGGAAGCACGTGGGAGAGCCGCAGTGCAGAAGCGCGTCCGTGGCGGGACGGAACTCAACAGCACGACAAGACAGTGGCTCTCCCTCTTCCGAAAACCAAGCATCCACCAGCAGTGAACAAGCACGCGGTTCCTGCCCCTCTCCCGCCCCACCATGAAGACACGGTGCTTTCACAGACACCAGGCGCTGATGGAGAAAGTCATCCCCACGAGCGAGAACAGCAGAACATGAGAAAACCCGCGACACACAGGACCAGAGCCAGGAGAAGCGGGAAGGGCCGTGGCGGGTCCCAGGGTCAGGGGGCTGTGTGCAGTCACCGGCCCTGCGTGACTGGGCTGTTCCGCATGGGTCTGGAGCGCTGCTGCACCATCATTCTCAGCGACGCTTAAGCCTGTCAGGGAAGGATTTAGTATGACGCTAATCAGTGGGTCTGTAAACCCCAAAAGAAGAGCAGCACATGAGTTTCTTCATGGGCTTCTGAAACTCAGGAGGCTAGTGTCCTCCCCATTCAGTACCTTTGCTCCCTAAAACCAGAACAAGCCTCGTGGGGTCGTCTTCAGGAAATCAAACACCATACTGACACCAGGACCCACCACGCAGAAGCTGGAGAGCGGCTGTAAGACTGTGGGGCCCCGTGTGAGTAAGGCCGCAGTGCCTAGCACCGTCCTCCTGCGGGTGTGCGAGGCTGGGGCGAACCGAGGGAGCCGGGGGCAGGGGGGTATGTGAGGGCAGGGGAAGGAACCACGGCACCCCTGCCTCCAGCACAGCTGCGCTTCTCACTCAGCCCACCGGTGACATCACGTCGAGCGGCGTGTTCTGTGTCTTGCAAAACATCATTCTGTTTTGCAAATTTTCGGTTAACTTAAAAAATGAAGCTGTCACAAGCAGAGTAACTTAATAGGAACAAGAGTCAGCCAAGTGACAGAACAACAAGGAATTTCCACACAGGGAAAACAAGAAAGGATTAGCTAAACAGTTTGACCAGAAAAAGGCAGCTTTACGTAAACATGTACAGTTTATTTAAGTCAGAATGCGGGCTTCCTTTAGGAAAGCAAAAGGTGGCAGATACGGAAATCCCTCCAGCCGCCATCAGCGTCGCCCTGCCTGTTGTCGAGCTCCGTCCCACACACAGGACGGACAGTAAGCGTCGGGCAGAGCTAGGAAGGCAGCACGAGAGCTTACAGGCTAACAAAGCAGATGATGAAGAAACCGCAGCAGAGACGGCAATCGGGACGGAGGCCGCAACAGACATGGGCGCCGGCTGCACCGAGCGTCGGGCCAAGCACAAGGGCTTACGCAGCACAGGCCCTGGCCTGCAGCCGACGTGAGGGACGCAGCACCTGCTAAGTGTGCGCAAAACGCTCCGGTTCGCATCATTCTCTGACTGACACTCCAGGAGCCCCTCCAGGGTTGAAAGCTGTGCCTGCCGTCTCGGCCACAGGTGCTGGGCTCTCTGTTTTGTGGCTGATTTGGGGCACGCTGTCTCTAGTCACACACAGTACTAACCAAACATAAACACCTGGTTGTTGTACCTTTCAAAAATCCCAAGTGGAATTCTGTCAGGAATAGAGACAGAAACAAGAATATCCAACATAACATACTTTCTTTTCTCATGAATTAGAAAGTTCAGCGACATTTTAACGAGAATAAACACAAACCACTAAGTGGTCAAAACCAGAGATCAACTACAGATGATGACCCGCCTTCTCCTACCCTAGATGGGACAGCTCGTGCCCGACCAAGAGAAACACGCAACAAAGACCTGCTGAGAACCGACCTCCACGGGCCTGGACCCACGACCTTCTCTCCAAGACAGAGCTCGGAGGACACGACTGAGGACTGCTGGTTAACTCGGCGTGGCTTTGGCTCTTTGGTGCTTCAGGGCTCTGATTAAAACCTCATGCGTATGTTTCAAGATGAAACTGAAAACGGAGAAACTCCAATCTAAACAAGTGATTTAAATCTGAGGTCTGCTGCACTTCTCCCAAGATGTTCGGAGGGCTCCAGATAAAACCCATGGGGTGCCACTGTCCTCTCGTTTCTGAGTCCAGGGACACACAGTCTCCATGCCCCACACATGGCAGACACCAGGCCCCCACCAATGGCGACAGGGACGCACACAGCCATTGCAAAGCGGGGAGACGGCTGGCCTCCAGAATAACAAGTATTATTGTCTTGACAGTAAATGAGCTGTATGTTTGTGGCAAGAGGTCATGTTGTATAAGAAAGGAAAATTCTCCAGACTCTCATAATTTAATTTTTTCAAAGATTATAAACATCTCTTTGACAGAAACTCTTCAAAAGGGCCTGGAGACGTCAATCCTCAAAGTCACCAGCAAAACAAACGTAGCCCAGAGCCCCACCGTGCACGTGTCCACATCCTTCAGGACCTCGGTGGCCAGCAGGGGCAACACTGGCATGTCCCCGAGGCTGACGCCGCACCACCCTCCTGCTCCCCGCCCCTCCCCGGGGCAATGCGAGGGCTGCTGATCACACGGCAAGCAAGCACTAAGTGAGAGCACGCGAGCACTTACCTGCCCGTCCTGGCCCACGTGGTGGATCTGCAGATTGCCCTGCAGAATGGGTGAAAAAAGGAGAGGTCAGGGACCAGAACAACTTCCAGACACAATGAGACAGAGGCCGGAGCAGCCCGTGCCATCTGCGAATAACCAGCAAAGCCATTCATATCAGTTCTACAAAAATTCAAGCCCTTGTAGCAATAAAACACCCAAAACAAAATAAAACCTGAGTTTACAGATAGTATCTTTTCTTATAAAAACAAACCGAAGAAAACATTGTACCCACCCCCCCAACCCTGACCCCAAATGAAAATGTCATTTTCCCCCCAACTTTAATTTTTAAACAACTTTAGACTGATGAGAAAAACCAAAAGTCACCCACAGAGGTCCCGTGTGCTCATCACCCTGCGCCCTGATGGGGACGCCTTACACACTCAGTGTGCAGCGTCCCAACCATGAAGCAGAGAGGACACAACACAATCAACCAGATCACAGGCCCATCGGGGTCTCGCCAGCTGGAAATGCATTTTCATTTGTTTAGGAAAAACAACTGTTTTAGAGTCTAGTAGGCTCTGCTAAAACTGTCTTTGCAGATACCTTCGTTTTGACAAAATATTTAATTTTTAAATGAACAAGGTAGAGTTTTACTGTGTTAAGAAGACCAATCCCATACTGTAACGTATTACAAAGGAATCATTAATGGCATCAGCAATTTCTTCTAATTCATTGCATTCAATTCCTAATGGAAACATGCTGGATTACATAGACAAGAGAGACACACGCTTATGAAATCTGAAAAACGAGGCAAAGTCATGAAATCCAAGAAATATTCAAGTGATTTTTTTGCAAAAGCAAATCTATACTGAATTTCCTTCAGGAGGTTACCAGCAAATTATGCGCCCTGCGCAGTGAAGGATCCTGACGGACGTTGGAGCCACTGGCTGGGCCTTGCACTTCTCTGCACCCCTAAAAGGGAGCCTCCCCACCCCTCAAGGGAACACGTGCCCACGACCTCCTCCAACCCCACTGCCAGCTCTCCTTCCCCACCCAGTGCTGCTGCCGCTCCACAAGCTTCCTCCGCCTGCCTGCCCGCGAGCTGACTGTTCTCACGTGTGAGTCGCTCCCCTCACAGGACCGGCCAGTACTCATTCAGCAGCATACCCTCACCGGCCCCTCAGAACCTCTGCACCTCTTCCCTTTGGACGCAGCCTGCTCACGAGGGCTGGACGTGCACAGCCTGTGGTCGCCAGGTGAAGGCACCTCCATCCTAACAGCACGTCCCGCGGCCTCTCCCACGGTCCCTCCCCCCAACACAGTGACCTCCTGAGGAAACAGGAGTCAGGTGGTCACGGCTGGACGCCCGTGTCACATGGGGACTCCCAGCCATCCACCACGTCTGACCACGAGCAGAGTGCAGGGAGCCTAGGGACACAGAGTGACTCACCTCGCTGTCCTGAGTGATCTGCACCTGCTCCCCCTGCGGCACCTGCGCAATATGGAGGTGGCCCTGTGGGATCCGCAGCAAGAGAAGACACCAAGAAGCATCAGAAGAAAATCAAAGCCACAGGAAACAAGAAACGCTTTCTGAAATTGTTCTTGATTACCCGCTGACAATTCCAGACAACTAAATCCTAAATAGTACAAGAGAACATGTGGATGCTGTAAGCTTATTAAATATAAATAGCCTCTTGAAATCAAACTTTTGGTTTGTAACACATACAGAACACTTTGCAACAGTTCCTAAAGAGGCAATGGGGCCTAGGAAAAAAATCCGTTAAATCTTCAAATGTTACTAAACAGGCAAATTTTATAATGTGGGAAACAGAAATTTCCCAGAAAATTGGAAGAACTTTTTTTCACCATACTATCAACTTGGAGGGACCAGAAACCTCCAGGAAGCAGCAGGCATTCTCCTCGCGGTCTGGGGGTGCTGGAAGGCCACGCAGCAGCGCGTGATTGGTGGGAGGGGCTGCACGTGGGTGTCTACACTGAATGTGAGTCAGGCAAAGTGTTTTAAATCAGAGAAACACAAAACGATTAAATAGGTGGCTCGACACCAATCAAGAACCCTGCTAAAATGCACTTGGGGCTGTGGAGGCAGGCAGACCAGTCCTATAAATGTGAACATGGCTCAACACCGGGCAAAACTTGCTGCGACTTTTGTTTTACTCTGCGCAGACTGTGTCACAGTGACCTGCCCCGGAATTCCTTCAAAGCCTTTCTTACCACTAAGACAAGAGTAACTGCCTTTGTGACTGTCAGTTACACAGAGAACTCACCATTCATAAGAGCTTTCACCCCTCTGGAAGATAAGAAAAGCCCTCAAAAAGCACTCATCAGGGGCGCCTGGGTGGCTCAGTTGGTTAAGCGACTGCCTTCGGCTCAGGTCATGATCCCAGGGTCCTGGGATCGGGTCCCACATCGGGCTCCCTGCTCAGCAGGAAGCCTGCTTCTCCCTCTCCCACTCCCCCTGCTTGTGTTCCCTCTCTCACTGTCTCTCTCTCTCTCTCTGTCAATTAAATAAATAAATCTTTAAAAAAAAAAAAAAGCACTCATCAGCAACTTTCTGGAAGCCGGCCCTTTCCCAGGCAGTACACCGAGTGCAACGTCAGACTGGGGCCCCGAGACTGGCAGGAGAATGCGGCTGGGTGGGACGAGAACGTCCACAGGAGCCCAGGGGCATGCTGAACACGTGCAGCTCCCTGGCGGCACTCCTGCCCTCCCGCTCTCCTCGGCCGGAGGGCCCAGGAAGGGTCTGGAGGAATTTCCACCTGGGCCAGGCCATGCAAGGCGGACTGCTAACAGCCTAAATGAGCTTAGTGCACACTGCATCACCCAAAGGAGGTGCTACACATTATCCAAGGCTACTCGCTCTCTACTGACCCCAGAAGGAAACTACTTTTTCTTCCCTCGGTGGGAGGGTGCCCATGCTTCTGGACTGAGAAATTATCTGCGGGGCACCTACAGTGCCTCCCAGCAGGAAGGAGGACAGGCAGAAGCAGGGACAGCGGAACGGCCTGACCCTCCGGACAGACAGTGGCCCCCAGGGCAGCACAGACAGGGGAGCCACGAGGGGCCGCTGACACGGGCACAGCCCTGTGGGAACTGCCCGCGTTTGTGAAATGCAAGCTGGCACCCGACTACTTCCACTTGAAAATGGCACACCGACCCCAAGCAACCACAGCATGACCCGGAAATGCAGGGGATGCTGGGCGGGACCCTCCCCACTGGCCATGCCCCTGCCCCAACCCCCCTCCGGCTGACCCCCGCCTTCACGGAGGCAGACTAACGAGAAGGGTACATACTACTTGGACCTGTCCGTCCTCTCCGATCTGGTGGATCTGGACCTGCTGGGCGTTGGCCAGGGCGTAGTGCAGGGCCTGTGGCGGGGGCTGTGGCATCTCACTGGCAGGGGGTGGTGTGCTCATCACGGTCTCTGCGGGGAAGCACAGAAGGCCTTAGCAACCAGCTGGAGACAGACCAGACTGGCCACGTGCCCGCCTCTGGGTTCCCTCCCTCCCCAGCCCCACATCCCCACAGAGAGGGAAGGAAAGCTCCTAGGTCCTTCCTAGACTCTAGCTGACAAGTCTGGATGGAGGAGCCACGCATTCTGTATGCATCATTAGTTCTAAGTGCTAGGGAATGGAGATTTCTGACCTGTGGACAGAAAGACCTGAAGGACTGACTATTCAGATACAGAGCATTCTCATCCATTTGTTAAATAAAGTGGCTCTGGACTTATCAGCAAAATGAAAATAGGAATAAAGCTGATAATAGTCTGCTTTACACCAGTAGTAAGTAATATTTGTTCATGGACAATTAAACTTACTAGGGAGAAAGAAAATCCCCATCCACTTCTTTAAAGATACATTTCCAATAAAACTTTACTTCCTTTGTTTAATTCAAAATAGACACCGTGTTGACGTGTTGCGTATTAATTTCATTTCTAAGGATATCTTAATAGAATTTTCTTAAACACGTAAAACATTAAGGTCTCCAAAAAACATTCTGATTTTGTGTGTACAATTTTCTGCAATTATGGTGGAATGATAGTAAGAAAATGTAAACACACATCACAGTAGATAAGATTCAGTGAGAAGTGGATGGAAGGAGAAGAAAGATGTAAAATGTCTGCTTACCCAAAAAAAGCTTTTTGTGTTTTAACAGCTTAATGGTGGGCATTAAACTGACATGAAATATACATTCCACTGAATAGGTTTGAAAAAGTAACATGGTATGTGAAAATGTTAACACTTGCATTATGTCAGAAGTTACATCTTTTTCAATGATTTCAAAGTTGAATGAAAAATCTTAGCTGTCAACATTTTAAAATGTCAACTTAAAAATATGCATGGAAGAATACAAATTTTCTAACCTCTTAAAGAGGGTATGCAACCAAAACATTTAAAGTCTACTCTGCTAGTCAGTAACAATTACATAACCAAATAGATTCCCAAATCATTTCTGCTCTAGTGCTAATAAAAATCAACTGATCTTGCCATTCTCAAATGGTTCAAAAATACAAGAAGAATGGCAGTCCCCAAGGTTCTAAAGAAACTGCAGAAGACAGGACATGTGGGTATGAGATTCAAATTACTGAATCTACCAATGAATCAGTAGCTCCCTATAGTCACTCAGTGTAAAGACCAATTTAAATCCATGTCTCATAATATGTGCTGATATCAAAGTCCGGTGCGAAACACCGTGCTGGTTCCTGGTTTATGATCAAGAACGCTTGGGAGCCAACAGTGCTGAGACTGGCAAAGGTTCCAGACCACAGCACCCACTGCCAGAACGCGCATCAGAAAGGCGGGCCGCTCTGAGGGCCCCCCTCGTCTCCGCATCCAGAGGAGGGGTGGCTGCACACACAGAGGGGCTGGTTCTCTGAAGTCCAAATGACTGGGCACAGACACCCGCGTAAGGCCCTCAATTCACTGATGAGGACTGCGGGGCGTGCGCAGCATCACCGAGGACATGCAGCCGTCTTTCACCCAAGCACATGCAAAAGTTCACATGCTGTGGCCAGAGCGGAGTGTAATACCCATGTTTTAATAAACTGATTTTGTGAACATCCAGTCTTTGCTCACAGTGACAGCACTAATTCACCTTTAAACAGAGGAGCCTGGGCTCAGAATTTCCTTAATAGCACGTATTTGCAAGTTTTTTTTTTTTTTAATAATTTTTTTATTGTTAACCACCATACATTACATCATTAGTTTTTGATGCAGTGTTCCATGATTCATTGTTTGTGCATAACACCCAGTGCTCCACACAGAATGTGCCCTCTTTAATACCCATCACCAGGCTAACCCATCCCCCGACCCCCCTCCCCTCTAGAACCCTCAGTTTGTTTTTCAGAGTCCATCGTCTCTAATGGTTCGTCTCCCCCTCCGACTTACTCCCCTTCATTCTTCCCCTCCTGCTCTCTTCTTCTTCTTTTTTTTCTTAACATATATTACATTATTTGTTTCAGAAGTACAGATCCGTGATTCCTCAGTCTTGTACAATTCACAGTGCTCACCATAGCACATACCCGGCCCGATGTCTATCACCCAGCCACCCAATCCCTCCCACAAGTTTTTTTTTTTTTTGTCTGCTGATAATTCAAAAGTAAACAAGGTAGACCCAGCTGGAATCACTAACCCATTCCAAATTAAGCCGGGAACCCAGGAATTGTACTGGATTATTTCTGTCACCATCTCAGATTTGCCTTGGGAGACTGGGAGTACGCGTACAGGGCAAGGACAGGAACCAGAGGCCCTCTAGCTAACCACCTCCTTTGCTTTATCTGATTTTAGTCAAGTATGCAGCACAAGAAAATCAGAAACAATGACAGCAACAGAAATTTACAAAGCCGTGGGCTTTTTAGGGGCACCTGGGGTGGCGCAGTCACTTAAGTGTCCAACTCTTGGTTTTGGCTCAGGTCGTGACCTCAGGGTCCTGATTTCAGGGTCAAGGGATCGAGCTACACACCAGGCTCTGCACTCAGCATGGAGTCTGCTTAAGTTTCTCTCTCTCCATCTCCTCTCCCCCTCACCTCTGCTCTCACATTCAAATAAGTAAATAAATCATTTAAAAAAAGCCATGTATTTTTTTAAAAGTTTGATAAAAGAAGGAAATACGTTTTGTGTTTGTCTCAGAAATTCGATTCCAGCGCTCAGCAGGAAGCCTGTCGCCGTGAGCAGACTGCGCAGGAAGCGGCCCTTGTTGAGACTGGGGAGCAGGGGTGAGACTGGGGGTAGCAGCGCAGAAATGCAGCCTCAGGCCTCCCTAGACACACACTGGGGCACAGAGACCTCAGCGGAGGCAGCAAGGTTCTATGGGACAAGGACAGCCCTGCCACCTGGGCACAGTTGTGGCATGCTCCTGAGGAAGGAGCCAGGACTCGGGGGGACCCACGAGATGTGCCGCCGTGTCCTGTTGTGCGTCAGCAGACACGGTCTATTCCAAACAGCACGTCCTGGGACCCCGGGCTCACGTCCCCACGTGCCAAGCCTGCCCAGGACACATGGGCACTGAACAGGAGCTCACATGGAGGCTACTCACCATCCCCAAGAGGCCAACTGCACCAGAGAGTTACTCAAACCCAGAGCATCTTAGAAGAAATACTGACATATGTGTAAAGAAACAACTAAAGAAACTCAACTCTCATTAAACAGAATTACTGTCCTTCAGTTGAAAGAAACACTAATAACCCTGGAAGAGAAATGAACAATTCCTAATAAGTAAGCATAAAACATCGTAAAATCACCAACCACACAACAGAACTCAAAGCTGAGTGGGTGGTAAAGACCACCCGGGTCTCCAATCGGAGTGGGAAGCAGGGTCAGGGTTGGCCGGCCCCACAACCCAACCACCGACCAGACGTGACCGCTCCTACAGCCCAGTGTGGTCCAGCTTGAGGGCATCACTTGCTACTTGGAAACACAGACTTGCAGGTCTGGACGGACTAAATCAGAATCGGAACTAAACACAATTCTCCAGGGCCACGAGGCCTCGTGAGCAGCTCCAGAGACGGACACGTGCTGTGTCCACGGAGAAAGCTCCATTCTGCCACTCCTCCTCAGGCATTCGGGACACGCAGGGAGGACCAACTGTGGGTCCAGCTCTGTGCTCGGCCACCTGGACCCCAGGGTGAGGATGATAAAGCCCGTCCTGCCTGAAGCCACCTCCATGAGCCCATGGTGCCAACGCCCGCCCTCTCAGGACCCGCAGAGGCAGCCTACTTCTTCAAGCAGTGGCCGCTTCTGCGCGTCCCCCAGCGGCTGCCTCCCTAAGTTCCCGAGACAGAACGGCTCATCCTAACAGAAAGGCCTAGATTCCTCACTAGGAGATTCTTCAGGGCAGCAGCTCACAGAAGCATGGCTTTGGGGCACGTGTGTGGCCACCTCCCATCTTCAGGAACTACTGGCAAATTACTCCCAAAACGACCGGAGGAAAGCCGCTTCCTGAGGCCGCCTCACAAAGACAAAACCCTACAAGGATTTCCAGCGACCCGGTCACCACCGTGCTTCAGAACAGGTGTTCCGGGCAGCCCTTGGACCTGGACCCCAGCCGCAGTCAGGGCCTCAGGTTCTAGCAGCCGTCGCCAAGGGCGCCGCTGTGGAGACTTTGTTTTTAATGTTTTTGTTAAGATATTTTCAGATGTGCTCGGTGGAAAGCAATACTAAAATCACACTGTCATTCCTAGCAAACATTTTCCTCGGGAAAAACCAGTCCTCCAACAATGCCTCAAAGGCGAGTCTAGAAGGTCCCCATTCTCTTGCGGGTAAGTGTAACTAAGGCGCTACACCCGCAACAGTAGTAATGAGCACCGCAAGTCCGCACGGGGCCCCCATCCGTCTGCCGTCCCCACACAAAGCCCAGCACTCGGCTCAACGAACTCGGCTCGAGGACACAGCACAGCTGCTCACTGCCGCAGCCGCCAATGTCCTGACTGAGCTCCTCCTCCTGCTTTGGAATGCAAGCAGCATCAGGACGACGCAGAGGCCCTGCTCTCCAAGCCCTCCATCTAGAACACTCCCGGGGGGCAGAGGAGGGCCCCCAGCGGCGGTCCTGAGGTAACTCACCGCACAGGGGACGCAAAGAACGGGGCTCCCGGTCACGGCGCTCTCACCGGCTGGCTCACTCTGGACGACCCCCCCACCCCGAGGCCCCCGGTGGGAGCTCTGGGCCGCGGGACAAAGCATACCTGAAGCGCCGTACGAAGATGACGATGGTGTCCTTCTCGAGAAGCTCTTGACGGCCAGGCTCTGGCCTCGCTGTTTCCGCCGCCAGGCTGTCCGACACTTGGAGTCGATGCTCTGTTTGATTCGATACCAGTCAGACTCCGTGATTCCAAACTTGTAGAAGAGGTGACCTGAAAGCACACCCGAATTAAAGGACCATGAGACGCAGGCCTCCCCTCGCATCCTGGCTGTGTGGGAGCCACATGAACACAGAAACGTGATGGGCCTGAGAGCCTCCCCTACAGACACACCTGCGATCTTCTAAACTCTTTCCACTTGTTTAACTGTTATGCAGCCGACTGGTCCACACGGCGACGAGCAGGGTGCTGGGCCCCCACAAGCCTCCAGGACGCCCACACTCAAATCTGTCCGCTCGAACTGCACATGGGGCACGTTACGTCCTGAATGCGGAGAACAGAACTGGGGCCCACGACTCTATCGGAGCCCCGTTTCCAAGCCCCAGCTTGCCTCCTCCTGGGCCTGTGTGCCTACAGCTGTCCCCCACTCTCCCAAGTCTTTGCTCAGACACGACCTCAGCGACCCTGCCCTTAACCAGCCTGTCGGACCCCGAGTTCCCCCCCCGCCCCCCCCCGCACCGCCAGCCACCTCTCCAGCATCTCAGAGAACCGACATATTTACTGTGTTTGGTGTGCCAAGAGCCCCAACACCCGGGCACACGGCAGATGCCCCAGCACCAGCGGACTAAATGCTGGTCACAATTCATGTGAAGATATTCTGCCGTCACCGCCCGAGTCTGAGGCTAGCTTCTGTGACTCAGTCAGGAGGAAAACTCCCAAAAGGCACATAATTCTTCATTCCCGAGAGCCCTGCACACCCCGTGGGAGGGCATCTCCTCTGCTCCGCTGCTGGCCAGAGGTGCACACGGCCTTGCCGTGGAGCACCTTACTGACGCCCACGTGTGTTCACCACTTTCACGACAGAGCCCTCTCAGGACATGCCGCTCGGCATCCAGAGATCCCCCCCCATCAACGAGGAAATCAGGGATCAGGGAGGTCACCGAACACCCTCACTAGACACTTCACCTCTTCTCTGGGCCAAGTCAACAGAAAGTCACAGCCATGAGCACTGGCATGACAAGAAACACTCGTCAACGTGGGGACCTCTTCTTGAGCTGGCTCGCAAAACTTCCCTAACCAACGGGAAAATAAATGGGTGGAATCCAAAACTTCAATAATAAAGAAATGGAGGTGAACAACAGCCTGTTTTGACTGCTAGAAGGGCCGCGTTTACACTGTCTGCTGGGAGTTTAATTGACACCTGATCCCTAAAACCTCCTCACACCGAGACCCCCATGCAGAGATAATCACCAGACGGAGTGCTTGTTTTCCTAAATTCTATAGAAGTGTCAAGTTTCTTTTCTCTTGGAAAGATACTTCTTGGCTCTGCATGTGCTTAAGACCAATCTGACTCTAAATATAACGACCAAAGTTTCTGTAACCCAGATCAAAAGGAACTGGGCTGAGGAGCAGGATTTATAGAATCAGAAAGAAAAATAATCCAAGGTCATTTCAGCAGCACTTTGTAATCCTCGTGCAGAAAAGGAAATACACATATGAAGTGGCCAATTCTTTGCTTTCTGATTTTCAGGCCATCTCTAAAATAACCACAGATCAGTAATCAATATTTACTGAGTGGTTGCCACATGCCACGTGTGGCCTTGAGTGCAGGGGCTGACTCTGAATGTTCTGGGCTCGTTACCAACTCTGGTGACAGGAGCCCAGCTCCTGGCTGCAGTCATGCAGCGGTGCTCTCCAAGACGAGGCAAAAAGGCAACCACGGGCCTCCGAAGGCCCTCCAGGGACGCGTTTCATCAAGGAGGAGTATTCTCCCCCGTCCCCCTGTCCTCACACTGTCACACTCAGGGAGAAACCTTCCCAAGGCCCCCAGGGATTAATGACATGGTGTGAAATTTTAAAAACCTGTTAGGAACAGAAACGAGTATCTACAACACACACAAGTGTATAAATCTAAGAAATAAGCAAAAACGTTAATATTTACATTCAACTCCATAAAAACCAATTTGCCAGTTCAAATGTGGCTTACACCCTTTGAAGAAAAAACACATTCCTACAGTTACACGTTATCCGTTTCTAATCCTCCTAAAACCTCACGTTACGTACTCCTTCCAACAGCAATGCCGCCTGCCAGCCACCAGGACACCTGAAGAGTCCGCGGCACAGCCACCGTCCCCCCACCCCCATGGAAGGAGCCCAGCGGGCTTGGGGGTGCGGGAGGAAGGCTGCCCAGGCTTCAGCTCTGCCCTCCTGAGCTTGTAAGGAGGAGGCCTGGGGGCCTGAGATCCTACAGGCCCCTGAAACTGCTGCTTTCTCTGATTTTCCCAAAAACTCGTCTTTTCTGACAGCACCGAGCAACCTCAGCTTAATGAGCAGTGGAGGAGAAACCTTAATAATGAGGAACAGAAAACTTCTTTTGAATTTAACTGTTTTTTCACACTGTTGAAGCATCTTCTTACGTTAGCTGATGCTTCCAAGAAAACCTCATGAAATAAGAATGCCAATCCCCGAGCTTCAGTTCCTGTCCGATTATCAGTTAGGAGTGAGAAACAATCCTGAAATCCAGGCCTCCCGGCACCCAACCAAGCAGAAGATTAGTGGCCACACAGACCCCAGGGCACCTCCCTCCCTGCTCTGCCCCGCGCGGCACCCACCGGCCCGGGCACGCGCAGGAGACCCGGCGCCTCTGCTCTCCTGACCTCTCTCCACTAAGCTGCCGCCACGGTGGCCCCAGGCAGGACACACAGCAACCAGAAGGCCGCTCCCAGGGCGCTCCCCCAGCACACGGGGTCCTCAGGCAGCCATGGGGTTCGGGTCATCTGCAAGATGAGCCACTTGTTCCTTCACCATCTTGTAGGACAGTGCTCAGCAGGCAAGCCCCTCAGCCGCCCCGCAGAAGACTGGCCCTCCGAGCCTGCTCCCACTGCGTCCCGGGCAAGCTGTCTGGCCACTCCCCAAAGATCCGAAGCTCCATCACCATTCACCGCCTTCCCACTTCCCGGAACGCCCATCCTGACACTAGTGGTTCGAACCGTAAGACCAGACTCCTGGCTCTGCAACAGTGAGCCCCGCAGAGGGGCTGAGACTCACTGGGGGGAAAAAGGAACAGAGCTGGTAATCTCACGTCCTTGGTGGGTGGCATGGGGCTTATCATACACAGAGGAATGAAAAACACTATCACTGTTAACATAATCTCAAGTTCAAGGATAAAGAAAAGCATAAAACTGAGTACCAGAAATTTATTTCCTAAATTGAGTCTTGATAGTGACTGACCCAGAAAAACAGCAGAAATCTTCAGCCCCCAAGTGAGGGGGACCAGCCAGAGTGTCTCCATGTACTGTGTGTGTCTGGTGTCCTGGCCTCAGAGCCAGGGGAGCCCCCACCCACTAAGCAGGAGAAGATCCCCGACAGCGGAGAAGCACGACGGGAGAAGAGCCTGAGGGCCTCCCCGCGGCCCTGTGTCTGGGTGACCTGTGAGCAAGGGCTCCAATTGTTTCTCAGCTGTGTCGACCATTCTGCCTCCCAGCCCCGCACCGACCCTGGCACCTCGGCATTCCCAAACCCATGTGCTGGGTACCCCCAGAGAAGGTGTGTAAGACACTACTACATTTGATTACCAAGTCCCAAAGGACCCAGGCCCCAGGCACTGGGAAGTGTCCCCCAAAATGCATGTCCTTCCCAGGACCTCAGAATGTGACCTGCCCTGGAGACAGGGTCTTTGCAGATGTGATTAAGATGAGGTCATACGAGGAGCACAGTGGGCTCTCAATCCAACATGACTGGTGTCCTTATAAGGACAGAAGAGAAACATCCCCACAGGCAGGGGATGGGCGAGTGCCATCACAGGCAGTGACGGGAGCTGCGCTGGCACAGACTCCCAGGCACCAGCAGAAGCTGGGAGGGGCAAAGATTCACCCCTGGCCCTTCGGAGGGAGCGTGGCCCTGCCCACACCGTGGTTTCAGACTTCCAGCTTCCGGGGCGGACAAAGTGAGCTCCTGCTGTAGTAAGCGCCCCCCCAGCGTGCTGTGCTTGGTTGCAGCCGCCCCGGGACGTTCCTGCACCCCACAACCCACAGTGGCACCAGGACGCGGGCCTGAGCTCACGGGTAAGAGCCGACCGGCCTCTGTGTCACCGCTGCGCCCTCAGGGAACACCGCCTTCTCTCGGGGAGGCTGATGGGACACAACGGGCTGACTGCAGTCTTCCGTGAGAGCAGGACTCAAGTCTGGGCCAAGGGCTCGGGGGCCTCACGGGGATCTCTCCTCCACGTCTGCAGGCTTCCCAGATGCCTTCCGAGGGCTGGGGCTGTCCGACCAAACGTGCTTTCATCTCCTTCCTAGCAGCTGCCGTTGGTTAACAGCCTGTCCAGCTCTAGGCACAGGCTGCTGGGACCCGCGACCATGAACCCAAGAACAAAGGCCATATTCTCAACTCAAGGGGAGAAAATCAACTGCTTGCATTCTTGGGTGACATCCCTCAGGAAAATGTTCCCCATTTATAAAGTTACAGTAACGTGCTACCTACGCATCAAGCACACAAACTATATGGTCAAGTTACCCAAATCTGGGGGAAGCTATCATTCCTTGGGAGCCGGAAAGAAGCGCACACCCGGAAAAGCAAACACGCTCCTCATGGAATAGCTTACACCCCATTTCTCTCTCTCAGAAAACCCTCCTTCCTCATGAAAAACGCAGTTCTTAGAAACACAGCCTATGGTACGTTTCAAAATGCTAATTTTTTCCCCAGTAAGACTGGGACAGGAATGGGGGACACAACATCAGCAGGGGCCCACTGGGTGCAGGCGGCACAGGCCCCAGGTGCTACCCGGCAGCCCTGGGAGGCCGCTCTCAGCGTAGGAGTGAGGGGCAAGGGGACTGGCCCAGAGTTCCATGGTTTGCACTCCTAAGTTGTGACTCAAACCCGCTCCCGCCTATGCTTCCTCACCCCAGGACCGAGCCCCGGAGCCCATGACCCCGCTACTCGGGGCTTCGGGGAAGCTGCAGGCAAGGGTGTGTGCAACCGGACCAGGGGCTCCGCTCTCCTGCCCGGGCCACCGACAGCCGCTCCCTGCTTCCAAATGGAGACACCGGATGCCACCTACTCTGAATGTCACATCCTGACGGCCCCTGCTGTCGAGGACACAGCAGCCTGTCCACGGTAAAGCCACCGAGCACCACCCACAGGCACAACCCTCACCAGCACGGGTGGGCCCCGACCCAGCAGTCTTTTGCTCCTCTTGCCGGGAGGCTGCGGACACAGGGCGCACACGGCAAAGGAGCAGGTAGGCCGCAAGCTCAGAGCCACCATTAGACGGCCTGTTCCAGGGCACTGGCTATGACCCGCCGCCGCGACTCCTCGCCTGCCCTCTCAACCGCAGCCTGACTGGAGGGATGGAATCTCGGGGAGGGCAGGCCCCACTTCCCGGGGAGCGCTCCCTGTGGACAGTCCATCTCAATTCCAGTGATCTCCTTTCTAAAAGGTACATCTTCGTTCTTTGCAAACTGCGCCTGAGAGAGCAAATGTGCGCACTCTGGGTCAGGAACCCCGCCACTTCAAGGACCCACAGGCCCTCCCCTGCGTGGGAAAGAAACAGGGCCAAGTTTGGCTGCTCACACAAAGCAGTTGTCCAGAACAGCTCTCCACCAGCCCCCGGACAGCCCGCCATCCAGAACCCTTGTGCCCTCCCCGGGCCCCCACGAGAATACGTGGGCGGCCCGGTCTCCCACCAACACACTCACAGGGCCCCGGCACTTGGCTGCAACGCAAATACAGCCGTTCAGCTCGTAGCTCCGCCGTGTATGCAAGTAAATGGGTCATCTGCTACACAGAAAGTGGACGGTCTTCCACAGCGCACAGTGATAATGCTGACCTCCTGAGTTTCTGTTCAGCCAGGTCTTGCTCATGTGTCCAGAATCCGTGGACTCTGTCTGCGCCCCCCTGCTTCCACTGTGCAGACCTGGGCTGTAACCCCACTTTAGTCTCCTGAAAGAGCCCCGCTAAGACACCGCCCGTCCTTTTTCAGTCTCCCTGAAAGCCGGCCTGCCCAAGACCTTCCCTCCCCAGAGCTCAGTTTCAAAGCCGGCACTACACACGCATCTTGGGGGGACCAGTCACCGTGGGGGCAGACACGGCTGCACTTCCATCCCACAGGAGCGCACGGCCAGAGGCCTCCTAGGGGAACTGCAGCACCTACAGGGCGTTACCTGCCAGGGGTTTCGGCCCAGTTGGCACGGGTGCATAGGGTGCCATGGCTAGTGAGCACAGCCGGCAACCCCAACTGCTCCGGGGCGGCGGGCGGCGGGGGGGGGGGGGGCGCTATGCCCTGAAACCTGCAGAGCCTGGGGAAACCGATGCTCCCTTGCTGAGCCACTAGGAGAGATGCTCACCTCATGGTTTCTCGATGGAGAAGGGCTCACAGGTGGGCCGACCTGTCCACACACAGAAACAGGACTGGGCTGTCTGCTCAATGCAGCATGTTCCCCCACACCACACGGACTCCCTGGACTCCAGCATGTCGGCCCCATCACCGTGCGCTTCTGCTCAGAGCACCTCCCTGCCTGACTTCCCCACCCCCTCTCCAGAACCTTCTCCAAGCCTCTGCCTAATGACCCCGTGTCCCAGCCTGTGCGCAGAGAGCCCCTACTCCTTGGACTGATGCTCTGAGCTATGTCTCCAAATGAGAGGCAACCACCCTCCAGCTTCCGGTTCTAGGAGCCCCCAACTCTCCACGGGAAGAGCCGCCCGCCCCCCAGAGCCCATCACGCGCATGCTATCAGGGCCGTGGCTGTTCACCAACACCTGACCGCACGCGGAGGCTCTCACTCATCTCCACACACCTCCCGCATGGGGCGTCCTGTCAACACACAACTGCGTGCTCTCAGGCTGCATGCACACCACGTGCCTCCTCCATAGGCCAGAGCGGCGCGTCCCAGCCGGCCTCACGCTCCAGAGCAGGGCTGGCAGATGGCGGCACCCCACCACCTGCGTTTAAAAATCACGTTCTGTTGGAACACAGCCAGGCCTGTCTGTCTGTCTTGTCTCTGGCTGCTTCCAGAGCTGAGCAATCACAAGAGACCCGGTGGCCCACAGAGTCAGACACGTCTACTGCTGTGGCCTCCCCGCAACACAACGTTCATCCCTGAACTGCTGTCCCCACCCAAGGGGCTCCTGTCAGCTGCTCACGTGAACAGTCCCTCAGAAGAGCACCCGAGAGGACCCTCAGGATCTGGGATAGACACCCCCGGCGGACCAGACGGGAGCAGCAGAATGCCCGGGGCCACGAAATGGGGACACCAAGACGACGAGCAACTTTAGCATGAGCAGGGCGCTGGGTTCGTGCCTCAGCAGCTGCCAGAAAACTCTGCAGTCAGTAGGAAACCCGCAGTTTTAATCAAATGTCAGTATAAGTGGCCCCATAAAAAAATATTCCTGCTAGTTTACAATAATTACAGGAAAAGCCAGCCTCTTTCTGTCTCTCTGTTCCTGACAGAAGGCTCACAGACCAATGTCAGAGAGTTTCCTGTGACAAACAAGGCTCTCTCCCGACAGGACAGCGCCCTTCTCTGCTCTGAGACGGTGACCTCGGAGTAACTCACTTTCCCCCTTTTGCTAGATCAGACTTAAACTTGATATTCAACCACAGTGGGTCTCCAGGACCTGGGTCTCACACAATGCTACCCAGCCCTTGTGTTAAGAGTCTGTCTGCTTCATTTCACTCCCGGGGGCAGGCTGGCTCTGTGGAGTGGACAAGCCCAGGCGTGAGAGGCACGCAGGTGCTACTGTGAAGGTCCTGGGCCACCTGCACCCCTGACATGTCACCAACAGGATACAGGGATGACTGATTTGACTGTAGGGCACTCTTCAAAGAGGAGGAAAGCCACGAAGGCTGTGGGGACATCAGGACCAGTACCATGAGACCTGCTGGCCATGGTCAGGGAGGTCGGCCCATAATTACGCAGCCCTGTCTGAAAGGGAAGAGGTGGGCGGCACCCTGCTCATGCCACAGGGAAGCCCAGGAAAGGCCGCGGTCAGCGGAGGGCAGAGGTCAGCTCTGGCTCTGCTCCTCCCTGGCCTCCAGAGAGGCCTGAGGACCGGTGAAGCCAGGGTCTGAAAGGGCCGCACCCCCCCATGTCTTTCCCACAGCAGGACCCAGCGGCATTTACTAAGGGAGATGCTCCAGCCCCGAGCGCAGGTCCAGACTCAGCCCCGAATCGCCACCTTGTAGGACCCCAACCTATGACCGGGCACCAAGGGAGGGGCGGGAAAGGGAGGGCCACACTTACACCGGATGCCGTAGATGGTGAGGGGGTCGAGCTGCTTCTTGCCATGCTTGCCCTGGCCCGAAAGGTTGGACACGGCCTGTACCTCACGATGGAAGAGGTAGTCCAGCAGCGTCAGCGCCATTTTCTCGGCAGTGCGGCAGTTGGTACTGATGTGCAGCATGTCGGACGGGATGATGGCGCAGCGCACCCGCATCTCGGGGTTGTTCTCATCGCCCAGCCACGTGCCGTTCGGGTAGTCCTCTGCAAGAGAGAAGAGGCGGTCTCAGCTAAGTTCACGAACCCGAGTGCCCGGCACGCAGCTCAAATACGTTCCATGGAGGCCGCCGGCGAACTGCTCCCCCAGCTCCCAAAACATGGCCGGGAGCACAGGGGCGACCCCCAGGGTCACAAAGGACATGTGATGAACAGAAACCAGCACATCGTTCCCACAAGGGCCGCCTTGGCTTCCACCAACCCATCTCAGAGAGATGCACGGAGCCTGGAAACACTCTTCTGCCTTCCAGACTGGCTTCCACGGGCGAGGCTTGCCTCGCTAACTTGGGTCAAAGTAAACGGAAGGCAGAGCGCCCTGCCCTGCTGGCCGGTCTGCGGCCAAGGAGACAGGCCTGCCCACGGCCCTCACAAGGCTGGTAACAGAAGGCCCTGCAGGGCCAGCCGAGGATGCTGCCCACACCCCACACATGGGCCTGTGTGTCCAAAGAGGCGACATCAAACGAGCACTAGCCTCAAACAACAGATTCTCTTCACAATTTATGAAAACTCGGTTTGTTTCCAGTTTGCCGGCATCTGGACAGGCAGCAAACAAGGGTGATCTCGGAGTACTAGAGTCAGGGACTGGAGTCAGGCTCCTGCAGGTCCTGACCCTGAATCTGGAGGCCCTCAGCAGTAGGATGGCCACACGGAGAGCATCTGCCTCTGGGACCACGAGAAGCCACACACAACTCTGTCACTCAAGCCTCCCCTCAGAACTGCTCTGAGAAAAGCACTTGGAAGCCAGGCACGTCCTGAGGGAGAGAGGGGATTTCGGCAGCGTGACCCCGTATGGACAGAGGGCTCCAGGGGTGTGCTGACGGGCCCATGCTCTCCTTCTCGCTGCACAGTCCTTCCATGCGGACGTGAGTCTCCCCGGTCCTCCTCTGTGGACCCCTCCCCGCTCTGCTCTCCTCCCTCCTCTGACCCCTCAGAGGAACTGGGAAGTGAAAGCACCTCCTGACTTCCAGCTCAGAGCACGGCCATCTCTTTGCTGGTCCTGTGATCCTTCGCTCCCTTGCGCACGCACTTTCCCTAACCCTGAGAAATGCACCATCTGTGCTTTTAAAATCTCGAAGGTCCTGCTTACAGAATGAAAACCCCCCAGCCTTCCTTGACTGCAGGAGCAGAGTACCCAGGAGCAGCAGGGTCGCCAAGGGGCTGCGTGCTCTGTGGGCACGGACCCGCCACCCTTGAATGTGTCTGGAAACAGGCGCTGGTCCACAGGGTGCCAAACACTCCGGCCACTTTTAGAGCCAGACAGTCTTCCAGGTCTCCTTTGTCTAGCTGCCTAGTCTAATCTCTGGCCATTTCCCAAAGGAGAACACTCTGGGAGGAGGGCCTCCTGTCAAGCAACTCCAGGCTCTGCCTCTGCAAACTGAAAATCATGACATGCCCCAAACTTTGGCTTTCTCAAGGGTGGCATCAAATGCAAACATCCAGAGCTCAGTGTTCACGTGGGGGAAGGATCCCCACACTCTCTGCCTCCGGCAGGGCCACAGCAATGATCGTGAGACAGGCACAACACTGACGTGCAGAGATAAGGGGGTGGGCAGTGGGGTGGCAGAAACCTCCCTACCCAAGGCACGCCGGTCGCAGATCCATGGGCACCTTGCCAGCTCCCTGTGGGAGACGGGGAGGACCCCGTGAGGCAGAGACCACGCTCGCAGCCAGCCCCTGGCTTCCGAGCAAAGCCCGTAGCGAGGGGCTTGGCTTTGCTCGACCACGGAGGACCACGGATTCCATCTCCATGTAACAGCCTCCAGCCGTCGGAGTGGCCCAGTCTGCATGTGAAAGGGCTCGTGGTCGTCAAACAAACACCAACTCAAAGGAGCCTCAACCTCTGGCAAAAGGAAACCCCACTTAGGATCACAAACCAAGAGAACCATCAGTTCCGCTAGGAAACTTGGCCGCTTCCCCACCAATCTCTTCTGACACGGCAGCCAGGGAAGGTGTGAGATAGCGCCCCTGCGTGAAGAGGTCACCGCGGGAGAGCAGGGGCGCTAACACGGAGAGATGAGACCTCCCCCTGGGTGGCTGGGGTGTGAGAGGGACACCAGCTTTCTGTCAAGTGGGCTGCTAGGTCACGCCATGGCCAGGCCATCCCTTCAAGGGCTTCAAGATCGTGAGAGCACGAGCTTTATTTTGAAATGTCGAGATGTTTACATTCCGATCTCCGTGCACAAGAAGATGTCCCCACAAAGGGGCAGCCAGCCGTGCCCTGCTTTGCCAAAGGCCTGGAGCAGACCAAGTGGCTAGCCCATCTGTGACTCACACACCCTGCTCCCCGGCTGAGCTTCCTGAATCACGAGATCTGCATGAACATCAGGCGAGGCTCAGCAGCCCCGTCAAGAGGACGACGTTGCCCACTGGAGGCCAACTGGCGGTTGGGAGTACTGCTTAGGGGGTTTGAGGCTAGGCTCCTGGCTTTAGCTAAGGACAGAAAACAAATCACCAATCTGATTTTTGCAACTGAGAATAAGCCACGAGGAAGAACTATCATTTCTGAGAAACATCAGGGCTTTACAAGTGAAGCGATGGTGCCATGAGCACATGGCTCAGTAGACGCATGTTTCTGAACGTCAGTCAGCTACTATTACATTTAGCCTACGTACAGAAAAACAAAATGGACAAGTGATCTAAATGCAGATGTGGGGGGACTTGTGGGGGCTGTCTCCAGGTCATATCTGGAATGTCAAAACAGCTCCAACTTCTAAGGTATTTATTGATTTATCTACAAATACATACTGGGCAACTCTATGCCAGGCACCGGGTCTAATGCTCAGGATGTGAACCCTCAGTGAACCCAGTCTTCAGTACACCACACAGAGTGGAAAGACTTCCCTCCACCTGCTTTAGTCAAGCCACAAAGCAAGTAGGGGAAGGAGGAAGGAAGGACAGAGGAGTGACCCCATCTGTGCTGAGAACTGATGGGTAAGGGACATGCGTGTTGGGAGGTAACAGAGGACACACATGGCCGCTGATGGGGCTACTCAGCAGTCCAAGAAGAACCAGGACTTACAGCGTTGAAACCTTCCCACATTCCCTTACCACTCGCTGCTGATTTCACTGTGAATATGTACAATCAGACTGAAGATGGTGTCGAATGACACCAAGCAGCATCTCCAGCCCTAGGTATTTAAACAGGAGGATCCCTGTGTGCCCGCGGGGACGGGTGGCAGCACCTGAGCCAGGAGGGGCTCGGGCCAGCGCGGCACCTGCCTCCCCGACCACCACGGACACGGCACGTGGGCCAGCGCAAGGGCTTAACTGCCAAAGATCGCTGCAGCCTTTCTCGAAAATAAGAAGTAACATAACTGTGCTGAGCAAGCTCCCCATTTACACAGTATTTTTAAAGCAGTGTAAACACTGGACAGGAGCTCAGTATTATTTCAGGAGATGCTGCTCCCCCTAAAAAGTACATAAGTCTAAAAATTAATTCCAAACAGTGAGTCCACATTTTGTCAAACCCATTCTGAGACGGTGTACCTGGAGTGCACAGGACAAGGATGGATGACGGCCCCCAGCCCTGAGAACCAGCTTGCCACCCAGGCTGCCCCTGGCCCCCCGCCTCAGCGAAGTGTCTCCTCCACCAAAGCCGTGCTGTCCAGGCTGTGAGGTCTCCTGCCGGCTCCACTGCCCCATGAACCAGACCCCTCCACCATGAACCAGACCCTATACTTCTGACGGCCATGTGCCTCTGCCAGGAGCACCTCACCTTGTCAAACCCCATACTCTGCCCCTGGAGCTGACACAGTGACACACGAGGGAAAAGGCCATTCTTCCAAACATCACCCGCTGGAGAGCCTCAGAGTTCCAGGAACAAAGGAAAACGCCAGCAAACGGACATTGAGACATTCCACTCACGTGGACGCAGAAACCAAATGTGCAAATGCAAGTGCTTTCAACCTGATTCCCCAGGAAAGAAGGATAAAGTGGTTTCATCTATGTGAAGGCAAAGTGTCAGGGAACAAACTGACAAGTGACCATTAAACCTCATTGCCTTCACGTCAAAAATAATCATCAGTAAGATGGGCCTCTGCCAAGGGTGCTGCAGAACACGGAAGGCACTACGTGAGCCAAGCATGGTGTCCCTTCTTCCGCTGACGACGCTCCAACAGAAGCAGGGGAAATGGGAAACAGCATCCGTGGATGCTGGAGGGCCATCCCCTCACCACACCAACCAAGCAAGCTGGCTTCTACGTCCAGCTAGGGCCCTGTTCCGTGCTGACACTGGCCTATAGACAGAAAGAGCCTGTCCTCCGTGCCAAGCACACAGGCTTCTGGAAATGTCACCAGAATCTTCTGGAGGATGAAAGATGTCAGTTCAAACTCCTTTTTTTTTTTTTTTTTTTTAAGATTTTATTTATTTATTTGAGAGAGAGAGAGAATGAGAGAGAGAGAGAGCACATGAGGGAGGGGAGGGTCAGAGGGAGAAGCAGACTCCCTGCTGAGCAGGGAGCCCGATGCGGGACTCGATCCCGGGACTCCAGGATCATGACCTGAGCCAAAGGCAGTTGCTTAACCAACTGAGCCACCCAGGCACCCATCAGTTCAAACTCCTATAGTTAAGTATTATTTCAGGAGATGCTGCTCCCCCCAAAAAGTGCATTAGTCTAAAAATTAACTTTCCTTATCCTCCATCTCCTTATCACTCCTGAAAATAATGGTTTAAATTTCTCCGGTAACATGGGAAATTATCCAGAAATTTTACTCCAGTGAAACATTTCAAAATTTTACAAGGCATTTTCTGACCTGTTTACAACTGATTAGTCCCTAGATGCCCTGTGAGTGACAGGTGTGCGCTCATCTCCAGAGCAAGAAGTCAAGTGAGGACAAGAACCACAGCCTGAGGAACGGTGACCAACAAAGAGATGGAAAATCACTGCAATGGAAGTAGGGGACCCGTCCCAGTGGGAGAGGGTACCAGGGCTTCGCCATCGCCATCTGCGGTCTGGCGGGAGACAGACGTGCAGCGCCCCCACGACCCC